AATACTATGTTAATAATGAGACCAGACATAAACTAAACAAATAATGATTTATCAGCTTCACTAAAATACAAACTATAACATATTATTCTGATATCTCATTGTTTTTATTGCGGACTATGCTATCATGTATATTCTTCTTTTAACATGCAATACACAAAATCAAAATAATCTTTATCTATATTTACATTTAAAATAATAAAGAGAAAGCTATTGTTTTTTTAAAACTCATTGAAAATATTTTTTTGTGAATATTTGAAAATTCGGACAAAGGAAAACGAAAAAAAAAGTCCAACACCCAAATCTTTTGTTTCATTAAATTTTCTTAAAATTTTACACCAGATTTTTGTATAGTTTTTGTACTGATATAACACTCTACTAAATATAGAGCTAGTTATTTTTTCTTCTTCGGCTCTTTTATCCACTGATTCAATTCTTGGAATAACAGAGCTACAACCTATTGTTATGTTAATTGCTCATAATTAAAGAGTTCCAACATATGTTTACTAAAGATATGTACATATATATGTACATAAGTGTGACGGCAGCGGTATCAATGACCTCAACTAATTGTTTGTTTATAGCCTAGGGATTAACAATCTGAAACAATTCAGAGTAAACGTGTTCAAGTAGAATACTTATTACAATCAACTGGAAATACTTTTTTATTAAACGTTTTATATTATATAGATCATAGTTTATAATTACGTCTTCATTCTTTAAAGGTTATATGTATCATCAAATAATCCATCTTAATAAAATCGTTGATATTTTTTTCCTACTTACAATAACAAAATACATGGGTGTGTGAGACGAAAATTGTTCTTCTTTAGACCTTGCAAAACTCGAAAAATAACTACAAAATTTCACACGTATGTTCTTATGAATATTTTCAAAGGATAACAATATAAGAATAATGCAATAATAGATATAATAGTGTGCTAAAAGCTCTTGACTGTTAGCAGGTAATCTCATTAGTACATCAACATCTTGAGTGCACTTCCACTTTGTATTGTTAATCTTCATCTTTGTAAAGCTACATCAGTAGCAACTGTTGTAAATTATACTACGGAAATATAATAATTATATTATAGTAACTTTTAACACCAAAACATAAAAGTATTTAAGTTAGTCTAAAGTTTAGAAAACATTTTGTTTTCAAAGTTAAACAAATGGTACGTTATATTTCAGGTCACTCAATAAATTATTATTAATTTTAGAATTTAAATAATGAATCTTGAATTTATATTATAACTAGTAAACCCGGTGAACTCCGTTTCGCCACCAGAATACTTTTATATATCATTTCGTTTGTTGATTAAAAGATGAAGAATTATTTTTTTTGCTTTATATTTGAAAAGGAAAATTTTTATTTCATTTCACAACAGTAATGAATTCATTTCGATTACAAAAATGAAGTGTTATTTAGTTGTTCTATCTATCTATCTATTTACTTCTCTAAGTACCTAAATGAAAGTGAATCCAAAGTAGAGAGAGAATCGAAGCGTTATACGTGTCCGTAAATTATCAGTTTCATTGAAGTGTTCCTTTGTAAACCACATTTTTTGTTTTTTGGTCTAACTTTAACACAAATAAAGCGTATGGTTTCCAAACTCGTGAACACGCAAAATATAACTGCCCATGTGAAAAACAATGATTTTCTAAATTTATCCCGCAAATACTAAATGGTTTTAAGGGTTCAAACTACAAACACAATACCGGTTTGTCACATGAAATTAACTGAGAAGAAATGCACCGGCACCATCTACTTAAAATATTGATTTGTAGTACATGTTATGAATGATGGCGCTGTATGTGACAAAAGATTTTCCCCCTTTTCTTGGTTCTTTCGTTCTGAAGTTATAGCGTCAGGATGGAAAACCGGATTTATTTTTTTATAGTAGATTTCTTACAAATATCAAATTGTTTTCCATACGTCATTACATATCTGTCATTATACGTCAATTGCATAGCTGTCAATTGTGTTTCGTTATTCCACGTTTTATAGTGACTGACGTTTCATGTCAAGTCCCACGGGAATGCTGTCGAACGGCATAAAAAGTCCTATAGCAATTTCCTGGCTCTAAACTACCTCCCTGCCAATTTTCAGCTAAATCGGTTCAGCCGTTCTGGAGTTATAAGTGGAGTAACTAACACGACTTTCTTTTATATATATAGATAATTAATAACATTGTTTTGGTTATTGGGTAAATAATTTAAGAAAAAATTATTCGTTGTTGTCAATATCACTGTATTGACATAAGTTTCACGGATCCATTTTGCTTCTTTGTAGGCATGCTTTGTAACATCGGTGTTATTAATTTATCTAAAATCCTGTATTACTCGATATTGTATTCGCTATATAATAAAAGCATGTCTAAACCAATATTCAGTGGTGCGGAATGGAATTTATTTCTGAAATAAATTTATGGAAAGGCGAAGTTTTCAACGAAGGCATACTATCGCTTTTAGGGATGTTTTTTCCTCTTCTAGACTAAAACCCTTCGTCACTTCTAGGGTAAAACCCTGTCACTTGACACAATTCGGCTTCAAATATCTTCATTTATGATTCTATCAGACATAACGCCAGCAGATCTCTTGTCAGCCTCACAAATCCTTTCATGGGCGACAACATCTGACATCCATAGTTTATCATAAGCGCAATTTTGTGATAATTTTAAGAATAATACTAAACTAGCTTTAAAATTTGTAAGAGATTAAGATTTTAATATAATTTTCTTAAATAATACACGTAAAAATACGTTGCGGATTATGATAAAAAAGAATTATTTTCAGAGAATTTTGTGGGTTCCTTCATGATTCAGGGTTACAGTAAAATAAACAAATCGTTGGGTACATATTAATACATACAAAGAATTTTATCCAAAAATAGATTAATTTCAAAATAATACTGTTTCGTGTAGGTAAAAATTAATATTTACAAACAAGCTAAAGCTTGGGTTTTGAGGCCTTTCATAGACCTCAAAAACTCATTACTTTTAAATATCGTTTGGAAAATATCCAAGTTATTTATATAAAAGGGTTTTAATTTATTTGTTTAACATTTAGATTTCAATTTGAAATACGAAGTAATGATTTGTGAAATAACTCATAAATAATCGTGCATCTAATATCTATAATACATATGTTCATGATGATCTAATGCAGATTTGAATTTGATGACGTCAAAGCAATTGGTGACTGCATTGCTACAAATTAAAATTCGCGAGCCATAAACAGCGTTATAACAATAAAATAGTAAGAATTAATGTACCGATATTCAATATGTTGCAATCTAAATACATTATTAACGTTCCATTTACTAAGCTCGGAAAGAATTAAATGTACATATTAATTAGAAAGTATTAAAAGGTAATAATTAATTTTATGTTTATGTTGATGCTGATTGTCGGTTTTACGCAATATTTGTTATTGACATTAAAATGTATACAGTTCATTAACTACAACATGTACTTGGATTTAACAATAATGTTGCTATTACCGATTTACCTCAAACAAAAATAAATCAACTTGAAATAAAATGGTAATCAACGCGTGTTATTATTCCTGTTGTTTAAATAATTAGTTAATGGCAAAATGACATTTACATAAGTTCGTGTCCAGAATTAATAAGAAGTTTAGGACTTCATAAGTTTCGAGTTGTGCAAAAATATTTTATTTGTGAAACGAAACTTGAAAGAATTAATTAAACGAATATCTTATATAGAAAGATTATTACAAAAATTTTATTTCCCAATAAATAACAAACGGCTATTTGCATAGTACATTAAAAAAAGGTCAACCTTTTAAAACAACGTACTCTAAAAAACTGTCACAGCGAGTCAGACTTTTCATAAAAGTTAGTTTGTTCTTTGTCCAAAGAGTTTGACTGTAACATGAATCAGGGACTTTTTTCTGTTGATTTCTGTTTAAACTATATATTTTGTACTAAGAATAAATAGTATTTAATTCATAACAAATCAAGAAAAAATCTCAAAGATCTGCTGCATGACTTGCAAAATTCAGTTATTTTAAACTCGGTGCATTTACCAAGATATCATTACTTCACAAAATAAAAAAAAAAATGTGATCAAAATAAGAAATAACACATAGCATCTACTATTTCTTTTTCATATATTGAAATAATCATTGCGAAGATTTCCAATAGTGTGATCTATAAGTTTTCATTTAACTAAAACAATTTTTTGTGATATTTATATTTTTAACAACACGTTTCTTACACTTTGCAGTCACTCTAGTTACTGTCTTATAACTGTTAAAAAAAGACTAAAAAACTGTAATATTATATTTAAATTAGTAAAAAAACAAATACTAACATCGAAATTGTACCTTAATATTCCAAGTTTTGTGTCTAAATATATAAGTTAAACTAATGCACTTTAGTAATGAAATGTTAACAGAAGAGGTTTTTGGTTGGTCTTTGGCATTTGCTTTCTCAGTGAAGACGGCTATGTCATCATATCAAACTATACGAGTATATCAAACTATATATGTGAACAGCAATCTCTCCAGTTCAGCGCCATTTATAATAACATATCATATACTGTTCTTTTACAAGGTTCAGGTTTTTATTTCATTAGAAATAGATACTAACCTAACCTTAAATAAAATGTGGCATTGATAGTTTAATGAAATAACAAGCTAATTGAGATATCATACCAAACTGTCACACCAACTGTCACTAGTAATATTATACTTACTTGGATTTCGAGGAAAAATGTCCAAAATGCAGTGAAATGGTTTAATATAATTTACAAATATAATTATTCAAGCCATTAATCATATCTTCAAAAAAACTTACACCGGTACTTAAAATAATTTAAGTTAAATCTCTTTGAGTTAAATTTTGATTATTGCTACTTTTATTTAAGGTAAGGCCAACAGCATTACCTTCAAAACATCTGTTCATTTGATTAAAGTACATAGAAAAGCAAATTCTTGACCAATTTCATATAAATAAATAATAAATATTAATTTTAAAGATCAGTTGGTCGACCAGTTGGACGATCAGTTGGTCGACCAGTTGGACGATCAGTTGGTCGACCAGTTGGACGATCAGTTGGTCGATCAGTTGGTCGACCAGTTGGACGATCAGTTGGTCGATCAGTTGGACGATCAGTTGGTCGATTAGTTGGTCGATCAGTTTGACGATCAGTTGGTCGATCAGTTGGTCGATCAGTTGGTCGATCAGTTGGACGATCAGTTGGTCGATCAGTTGGTCGATCAGTTGGTCGATCAGTTGGTCGACCAGTTGGACGATCAGTTGGTCGACCAGTTGGACGATCAGTTGGTCGACCAGTTGGACGATCAGTTGGTCGATCAGTTGGTCGACCAGTTGGACGATCAGTTGGACGATCAGTTGGTCGACCAGTTGGTCGATCAGTTGGACGATCAGTTGGTCGATCAGTTGGTCGATCAGTTGGACGATCAGTTGGTCGATCAGTTGGTCGATCAGTTGGTCAATCAGTTGGTCGATCAGTTGGTCGATCAGTTGGTCGATCAGTTGGTCGATCAGTTGGTCGATCAGTTGGACGATCAGTTGCCCAACCAGTTGCCCGACTAGTCTATATATATAAAAGAAAGTCGTGTTAGTGACTCCACTTCTAACCCAAGAACGGCTGAACTTGAAAACTTCAATGAAACGGATAATTTTCGGACACGTATAACGCTTCGATTCGGTATCTACTTTGGATTCACTTCCATTTACTTAGAGAAGTTCAACTAAATAACACTTCATTTTTGTAATCGAAATGAATTCATTACTGTTGTGAAATGAAATAAAAATTTTCCTTTTGAAATATAAAACAAAAAATTCTACATCTTTTAATCACCAAACGAAATGTTATATAAAAGCCTTCTGGTGGCGAAACGGAGTTCGCCAGGTTTACTAGTAATACTATGAAAAGGAGTGCACTTCATTTTAGGAGACAAATCTTGGGTAGTTAAAGGATACGTGACCGAAACATGAATAAAAAGTATTCACTAGTTCCTTAAGTTAAATAAGAATTATAGTACCGCAGAACTCTAAATTCTAGATATATTTCAAGAAATCGCTTAAACTTTTCGATTAGGAAACACGAAATACAAGACTCCTAACTTAAGGGTAATAGGGGCATATGGCGACTCAAATGATTTCACAATATGCGTGATGTTTCGAATCCGAGTCTTTAAACCTAGAAGAAGCTGGATCCAAATAATTTAATCCAGGTAAAACAAAGAATAAGGCCAAATAAATAAATGTGTGAGGACTATATCGACTACAGAGGTTAACAACTTATATTATACAGTAAGATAATCCTATGGAAATACCTTGAGTTAATACTCACGACCTCGAAGATACAAATATGCTTTTAATGGCCAACGAATATTTTATTAAAATTAATATAAGCTCGACAACGAGGTGACTAGACAGCGATACACTATAATAATATTCGTTGGAAGTATTGAGAAAACACGGAGAACTTCGATTCCTTTTTTATTAACTACAGAAAGAAAGAAAAATATCGAGAAAACAAATGGTCATATTTAAAACAAAAAAACTGGAAATATATAAATTCCTTTAAATTAGAATAACACAATGAACAAAATTTCATGAGTTTTCAAAAGATTTGTACAAACTAATGTGAAAATATGTGTGTTCGACAACTTTTAACGTTATGGAATACATAAACAAATTATTATCTGAATAAATGCAACGAACTAGGAATACTGTAACAACATCGGATTTGAAATCTTAACTGGACCAATTAGTCAGACTGCTGAAAATTCAATAAAAATACAGATTTATGTCATGCTAAAATAATGGTTATATAAATTTTACACAGGCCGTAATCTTATACCGGTGACCCAGTAAAAATATGTTTAATGCTTCCATACAAATTATAATAATAAGTTTTATTAGTTTTAGCATACAATAATAGAGGATAAAAACTATGGATTGTAATATAACAATACTTTTTTAATATTTGTAACCAAATCAACTGAGTAAATTTAAACTTAATTCTGATTTCCCGTTTAAAAACAGGTTTAATACTCAAAATCACGGTAACTTTTTCGAGTTCTAATAAAATAATGTTTCTTTTATTTCGAGTAAATTACGTATTCTATTTGAATGTAAGTTTTAAACAAAAGGTAAATGCGTGAAATTGAGGTGATATGAGTCAAAAAATAAATGTTTGGAACTAAAGCATAACAATGTTTGAATGAAATATGATTCTCAACTGATATACTGTTGGCGGACAGACCCTTAATAACATTAAAATCGGTCTACGATAAACAGAAAATGTAAAGTTTCATAAATAATATTCAACTTTTATGAAATTTGAGGTTTCAAAATATTTCAAAAGTACTTTAGTATTCTTCGACTAACGGGAGCCAACAAATTCGATGTGGTGAAATTTTTAATCACAAAAGTTTTGTACTTGCAGGTTCTTAGCGGTTCTTAAAAATTTATAAGAGAGCGTTGAATTTTGTTTTGTTATTTAAAAGTTATTAAACGTTTTATTAAACAAACTCTATAACATTAAGTTTAGTATACATTTTTGAAGTGTATAAAATTGTTCAGCTTATTTTACGCCGAACTGTTTCTCTTTTAATCGACACAAGGACTCTTTTCACGTGGCTTACTATATCGATGTTTTTATAATCGAATAATATTAACTTGTTTTGTATTAAATTACATTTCCTGGAAATTACAACACTAAAATTATGATAAAATGTTTCTTTATTAATTTATCGTAGGAATGTATCAGCATCGAGATATTTAATATTTTACAGAAAAAACGTGATTAATGTGGAGCGTGAGTATATGAGGAATTATAAACCAAAAATACATAGTACTAAGACGACTTGATTAAAATATTTCTGCTTTATATTGACTTATTTATTTTTCATCTAAGGAGTTAGATTATATTATGTAGTTGAAATTAAAATATTTACCACATAATATGTGTTTCTATCTAGGATTGCGTATTTTAAAATAATATGAAATGCTTTTAATAGTATAATTCAGTTACCTTCGCTTTTGTAAACCTTAATTTAAATGTATAAGGAAATTGATAGCGTATTTTATAAGAATTTGTACTGCAATAACTCATAAATAGATCAAGTTCACTCGCTTCCTTTATTATAAATAAGTAATACATACCTTCTACGAATAGAATATAATAGTTTATAAAACTTTGGTGCGAGTGAATCTGTTAAAAACGCATACTTACTCATTAAGAGTGTTTATCATTTAAATTTTAAATATACATAATATGTATTACATATATACTAGAATAACTCTTCGTATAATATTTTTTACTCCCTTATTATCTGACCACATCTTGGTCCAAGTCTTGTAATTATTACTCTCTTCTATTTTAGAAATTTACAAAAAATGTTATCGAAATTATCTCGGAACTTTTAACTCATAGAGTAAAGTAATATGCACTCATAAAACCATAATATTTATAATATTGATAGGGTTTTGAAGTTTAAAATATACCAGTATTAATATTTTAAACGAAGCTGATACGGAATCTAATAAATCTCCATCTTTCAAAGAAACTGTAATCCTTTAGGACTGACTCAGTTATATATCAATCGATGTCACCAAAGTTTAGTTAGAAACTAGAAGATTTAAAATATGTAGTTTAGCATTTCTATGAACAATTGGAAAATATAAAATAAATTCTTTAATAAGCAATTATAAAACAAAAGTGAAATCATAAAACAAAATTAAACAATATGACTTTTTAATGAATACTATCATGCTTGGTGAATTTTTAACTAATATTTAAAAGAGTTAAATAACATTTTTAAAAATAACTCAGATTTTTTTAAAATGTTACTTCAGTTAGAGCACAGACTGAGCCACGAACTACATTTTTAAAATGACAGTTTTTTTCTCTTTTTGACCAGAATTGAACATATCAAAACCAATAGAAAACTGTTCTTCATTTTTAGCCGTTGTATAAAAATATTTTGAAATGAAAAAATACGTTGATTTTCGTTAGCGTTCGAAAGTATAAGAAAAAAGAGTTTTTGTTTAGAACCCACGAATTAAATTGTCATACAAAGGTCAATAAATTTAATCCTAACCAGATGAAAACTCAAAATGTATAAAAATAAATAAATTAATTAATTGGTTTTTTTAAATAAAAACACCTTAAGAGATATTATGTACTTCTCTATTCAATTTAACATTTGTAAAAACACTGTTTTGCTTAACAAGGACATACATACAGGGAAAAAAAACTGTTAATATTCCTTTGAGATCTCGCCGATGGCTTCGCAAACATTATTCTTCGACAAAAACTGTACATTCAATTCGTAAACAGGCCATAAAAGATAAATGATTAATATATTAAATAGAAATCTAAGTTAGATATAAAGAAATCATTTCATGTGTTTATGAAAAGTAGTTTACAAAACGACCTAATTTATGACATTGTTCAAAATCTAAAATATAACAAGCAACTGTTGATTATTACGAAGTACTTTAATCAACTATTAATCATTTAATGTCAACATAATTTGTATCTTGAAATAATATCAAGATAAGCTTAACTTTCTGATAACTTAACCAGACGGTTTTGTTTGTTATATTGTTTCATAATATCGATAGATGTATTCAATTTATATAATATACATGATTCACTTGTTTTTTACTATATTATTGTCTTAAATTTTATGATTAACAAGGATGTCGTTCTTTTACAAGTACTCGGATAGGCAGACAGTCGTAAGATTTTAACCGAGATGTATAAAAACAAGCTTTTCGTACGTCGACTGTTTTAGTTTTTTTCTACAGAAAAAGTATGCATTGATGCAGAAGTAGCTGTACGTTTTCAGTGGAGTGTTTCAACCTTTACAAAGATGACCTTACTTCTGAGTCTTCATTTTTTTCGACTCGTCTATTGCTGTTAGCCCTATTAGCTTAACCTTGAAGACGGAAAGGATGGATGGTCTCAATAGTACTTAACTTTGAAATGCTGTCCTAGAAGATCCGTCTCTTGGCGAAAGGTCAGCTCAGGATATGTCCTGGCGAACTATTTAGGCGAACTAGTCATCGAAAAATCAAAGACCATAACGTTATCCATAATATCATCCATAATATCATCAACATATCCATAATATAAAAAAATAACAAGCAAAAGTATAAACTCAAAAGATTCAAAAAGTCTTATATATAAAAGGAAACATATTATTTAGCTCTTCATTAAATGTATAAAAGGTAAACTCTACACTTTAAGGTGAGTAGAGTTTACCTTTGTATTCCTGAAGCTACCTATTTGTATTCCTGAAGCTCGGAAAAGCAATTACAGTGATTATTGTCTAAGATATTACTTCTTGCTTAGTTCAGTTAGTGGTATTCGTATTTATTGTTAGCTTGTGGCTGCTACGGGCAGGATTGTTCCTTAGACTTTACACGTTAGAATACGTACCTGGTATATTTGTATAAATATAATAAAGCGCTTAAGACTATGTAGAGGAAAAGTTAATTTTACGTTTGTTTTATTCATGTTACAGATAAACAATATTGTTTGATTTGATTCAATTTTATATACAAATATAAAT